ACACACACACATGCGCGTTCGCACACACTCATACACCCACACAAACATACAAGTCATGCATACACATACACGTGCACACACACACACATATATGCCTAGATCTACACATACAAACACACACACACAGTAGTAACTTTTTTTTTAAGAAGAAAAAAGCCTTAGCCTAAATCCCTATTTAGCAGTAAAAATGAGAAAATGTTCTAACATAACTTGTCGCATGATTCACAATGTTATTCTCATACATCTGCACTCAACCAACCGAGTAGAGATAATAAATATCTTAATGTGCAAACTGGGTTACCATACACAGGGCCGTGACCTCATGTCGCTCCTCTGTGCGCCAGTGCGCTGCTCTGTCCGCCATGAAGACGACGTCATTTCATTAGCATAGACCTCTCAGTAGCAGAATAACATGTGGTGGATGAAATAGGCCCAGGGAGAACAGGACATCGTAGTGCTTCGTCGGTGTACGTATCCTTGGATTTTCTTTTCACACAAGTGTTCCAGTTTCATTGTTTTTTGCTTGGGGTTACCCCAAACAGAGGTTACTGAGTAAGTATTTGATTGTCAATGTTGGTTCTGGAGCTGAAGTCTGTAGACTTGTTTAGAACTGTTGTAGATCTACGGACAAGCAGAAGAGTAGGCTAGCCTAGAGAGGGGTAGATCTATACCGAGCCAGTCGTATAGTAGATTGTTGTAGGCCAAGCCAAGGCCTAACCTAATAGATCTGCACTGTTTTTAGGTGCACAGTAGAGCTGATGTTGGCCCCCTGATGTTCGTCGTCAGAACATCGGACGAGGTAGAATCTAGATAGATTCTAGATCTAGATCTAGATCTATGTGTGTAGATATCTCTAACTTTGACTTGTTAGCCACCATGAATCTAGAATCTAGATCTAGCCTTCTATTCCTGCACCTGCACACCAAAACGTTTGTTGTCATTAGTTATGATTCTAGACTAGAAATCTAGATCTACATCTAGAGTCTAGATCTAGATCTAGATCTAGATCTAATCTAGATTATATCTAGATCTATATCTCTAGATTGGGATCTCAGATCTAATCTAGATATCTAGATCTAGATCTAGATTAGATCTGAGATTAATGCTGAAAGAGGACAACTTCTACAGACAACAGGCCCAGTTTCAGTTGTAAACACACTAGGCTTGGGTCTACTGTCTTTGCAATGCGTTCGCAAGACCCAGTTAATCTGAGAAACTGGGAAGATAATTCAGCGCTTTTTCGGTAGTTCCCACCCCGCAATTGTTATTCGCGAGTTTTGGACCCAAAAGTAGGGGGGTTTCAGGGGGTGACTTAATAGGAATAGGCCACCTCTATTCTCACCCGGGGTGAGAATAGTGCAGGCGAGTCTTTTGGCTATTCTCACCCGGTGCACGTTCACCGTTATAGCCTAGATCTAGATCTAGATATAGGCCAACAAATTTTGCGTTCACCCTAAACCACAGAATTCTACACTGTGATAACACAAAAATTGTAGAATTCTGTGCTGTGAACAAACGTTCCATTACAACTGTACTTGTAGCCTACTAAAAGCGTACAATTTTGTCTGTGGGCAGTGGAGAGAGAGAGTGAGAGAGAGAAAGAGAGAGAACAAAACAAAATGGCGACCCGCGTAGTTCGGCTCGATTCGAAAAGTTAAACAGCCGTAGCATCTGTGTAGACAACCAAATTAATTTACTTTTGTGTTTTAACATCATTTTTTAACTTTGTTTTGGTCAATTTGATCGTCCACACCGATAGACAGTATTCAGAAAGAGACAGAGAGAGAGAGAAGAGGGGAGGAGTAGATCTTGCGAGAACTTCCGGGCGGGTGAGAATAGCCCCACTTTCATAGGAATAAGGTGGGGGGGTTTCAGGGGCGCATGCCCCCCCTGATTTTACCATAAATAATTTGATGTTTTGCAGTTGTTAGGTTTGTTTTGCAGTTGTTACGTTTGATGATCTTAGCTCGCCGCGCATTAAACATAGATCTAGAATATAGATCTAGATCTAGATCTTGATATAGATCTAGATCTAGATCTAGATCTAGTCTAGGCTCAAATAAAGGGGGTGGGAACTACAGAAAAAGCACCGATAATTCAATTAGACATATCTAGGCTATCTGTTGACTCTGTGTAGTGTGTTTTGTGTGATGGCTCTGTCATAGACTAGATCTAGGTCGGTAATATTGAAGAATTCCGGACCAGCGGACTGACTTAGCCGAGGAATTCATAATTTTCCCGTTTTTAAAATATATCTCTCAGTGGAGAATCTCGGACTTGTAGATCTATTCATTAAAATTTTGTCAGGGGGGAGACCACCTGCCCCACCAACCCCACTTTCTTGCGCAATAATGTACGAGTGGTCCGGTATTCTCCAATCTTCCCGACTAGATTCTAGGTCTATCTAGATCTAGATCTAGATCATCTAGTTCTAGATCTAGAAATCTAGATCTATAAAAATCTAGATCTAGATTGGGATCTACAGTCGAACCTGCCTTAACGGCTCAACGGAAACCTGTATATAAAAAGAAACCTGTATTAACGGAATCTCCCCGCTCCCCCTTAGATTTCTAGATCTAGATCTAGATCTAGATCAGTACCAGATGCGCCTTTCTGTAGTTCTGGTTGTGACTGATGGTTACCTTGGCGCGCCGCGCTTCTGGTGCTGTCACCTCAGACCAGAAATTCCTCCTCCTTCCGTCACTGGAGCTTTCATTGAGTACTGTATGGCTGAGTGTCCACCTATGGTGAATCGCATTCTGAAGAAATGCCGACCCTGGAGTGTTTGTGCAAGGTCATAACATGTCGAAAGGGCAGATGGAAAACTGAGGATGAGAAGCAACATGTATGACCATAGAGTCTAGATCTATGTGACGCTGGAGAACAGCCATCGATCTATTGACTGGCATGCTGCTGGAGAATAGCCACTTGCAAAATGGAAACCTTACACGGAAACGGAAAAAAAGATCCACTCCCTTCCAAGGGTTTTACCTAAGACGGAAAATGCTTTGCCTGCTCAGCCCTGATTTAAAACAAAACTCGTGAGTTTGGTTCCGCCGGCTCTAAACTTTTTTAACACCATGGCCATGCTGCTGGGCGAGGAAGGGGAGTAGAGGTGCAATTTAGGGGTAGATGTTACCCTATCGTATCAGGGTAGTGTGGGTGTGAAATCTCGCGACTGCCTGTGAGAGTGCTTGAGCAGCGAGCCACTATGGAAACTTTCGTGGTTAGCCAGAAGCCAGGGGAGTGAAATTAGATTGACCAATGCCCGCGGCCCCGATCGTACGGCCAGCCGAGAAAAGAGTTCCTCGAATCGTTGTTAAATGATGGCATTGAGGGGTGGCATTAGCATTGGTTGACTGTGCTTGTTACACTGATGGGTGGGGCTAAGGGTGGAAGGAAAGGAAGATGTTCAAACGTTTTTGTTTTTAACTAGTTAAACAGTGGTCCTATGAAAGGCAAGCATGCACTGGTGGTAATTGGATAAACGAAGTGGCTATTCGGACTCGAGTCCGAACAGCCGCTGGAGGCTATTCGGACTGAAGTGCCTGTGCCCATGCGCAATCACCGACCGTAAGCGAGGTCTATACTCGAGTCCGAATAAAATCTAGTCTCCCTTTGCTATTTGGACTTTAAACTGTGTTTCACGACTACAAAGGGATCAAAACATAAAATTCAAAATCACTCCATAACCCTCCCCCTCCCCTTTCTCTCTCTCTCTCCTTTCTCTCTCTCTCTCTCTTTCTCTTACTTTTTCTCTCTCCATCTTACTTCCCCAGGCCCGCCCCACCACCTTCATCCCTTTTTTTAGCATAGAGATCTATATTCCCTCCCATACCGCTGCCCACTGCCCGGCCAGGCCCTACTATTAGAATCTGTCCTTTGTAAAGAAAAGACCACAGTTCGCACTGTTGTAAGTTCCTTGGCCAGATCGTAGAAACCGAGGACGGCCAAGGTCGAATCGCTTGTCTGCTTCACACCCGGTACACCTATTGATTGCGCACGCACGTTGAAGTTTGAGTCCGAATAGCCACGGAAGGCTATTCAGACTCCAGAGTCCGATAGCCTCTTGCGGCTGTTTGGACTCGTCCGAATAGCCGCAGCCTTGGATAAAAGTGAGACTGACACATGTCATTGTCAGGCAGGATCGCAATTGAGAGGTGTGAAGTTTTGACCACTGCTTGCCGATCGGACAAGCCCAAGCGATCCTTGATTCCAACGGCTGGGCCTTTTAATCCCCCCCCCCTTCCATCTCCCCCTAAATTCCTCTGTCTAAGACGGAATTTTTATCAGACTCCCTTGCTATTCCGTCTTACACAGGTTCGACTGTAGATTATCTAGATCTAGGCATATTTGTCATTGATGTCTGGACTGTGTAGAATCTAGACAACTGAATATATTAAAATTTTACATTTTTATCTTTAAGTTTTAACTTTTTGACTTTGTTGGCCATGGGCCATACCATGGGAGCCTAGATAGATCTAGATGTCTGAATGTACAGGCTAGGTAGATCTAGATCTGTAATCTAGGCCCCGTTGTTCTGAAATCTATGTTACTATAAATATAGATCTAGGCTTTTTATTGCCTTTTCAGTGTGTGGCGCTTTTCACACGGGACTGACTGAGTGAAGATGAAGTCAAACAACTATCGAGAGCAAGTGGCTCTTGTGATCAGTTGGTTCAAAGACTGGAGTGAGTGTGAACAAACAGTTGCCTTGTATTCTTTGTTGAAGAAGAGTTCACCTATCCAGGCTAAATTCTTGGACCAAGTACTTCAGCAGTCGTTAGCAGATTGCACTGATGTGAAGCAGTGGGAGGCAAAGGCAAATGATGAAGGTAAGTCAAACCATTTTGCACCTTGTGATCATATGAAATCATAGTAGATCTAGATCTAAACCCCTCTTAGGAGGACTTTCATAACGAGTGAACACTATGAGACAGAGTAGAATAGAGGGTTAGGGTTTGGGGAAGGGTTATGGTTTGGTCTGTTTTTATTTTTGTCTGTTTGGGTGGTCGCTCCTTACGGAAGTCCTTCCCCCCTTTTCATGATCCTATAGGCAGTGTCTATTGGAGGGTTTGTTTGGTTTGTTTCTGGCGGCTTCAGTGCACACTATAAATAGAGGCTGCGTCTATTGGAACACTTGTCCGCTTGCTCTCGTCATATTCGGACACGTGTGTTCTTCTACTCTAGCATAAATGCGAGTACCATACATTGTGATTGTGCGTCTTTTTCTCTTTGAGAATGACGGGCTATTCTAGTTCTCTTTCTTTTTGGACCAATGCATAGCAGTTTTCATAAAATTGCTGTGACCAGGAAATGCAGTCAGCGTTGGAGGGTGCTGAAAACCAATCTCTACTAGAATTGACCCTGAGGGGAGGTGGGG